TTCTCACGAGTCAATACGAGTTTACATGCCTGTGTATATAGCAAAGTCTGTTTCTTTACTTGACGAGGAAGTAACAAGCACATTGTGGCCCGTGAGCCCGGTGCACACCTCCCACACGCCTTCAGGCTCCAGAGGCCCTTGCAGTGTTTGGTCTGGGGCGGCTCCCTGGCTGATTTACTTCCTGCTGTGGACCACGGCGGCGCGGGGAGGATAGTGTCTGCAGGGTTTGCCTGAAGGCAGAAAGACGGCACGTATGTTATATTTACGGGGGCACGACAGCAGTTCATTCTGCATTTCGTCCCCTCTGCGAAAAATAAGCTGTCCGTCTTAGCGACCCTTCTGTTTTGGAAAGGGTTGGTTCACTGAACACAGAGCAGGACTACAGAATAAAGTGTGAACTATGTTGGGGAAGCTAAATGCTACCTCTAGAAATGGCTTCACTGGTTTCCTGATTTAAAAATAGGGTGTACAGCGGGGATAACTCATTATATTTTTGCGGAGCTGAGAATAATATGCTGGCTTCAAGATAATTATGGTCTTTATTTAAACTTGACATTGAATGTTCTTTCCACCCAGTTCTAAATTTACAAAGCAGGGGTGGTGGCTCCTTTGAAGCCTTTTTTTCCTTTAGTTGTTTCTTGGCAGTACCACATTGCTAGTGTTAATAAAACCTTAAATATCCATTGATTCTTTTTTTCCTTTTTTCACCTTTCTGTATATATTTTAATGTAATACAAAAGATTGAAGTAATGAGAAAGAATACCTTAAGCACGAATACCTCTCAGAGACCTTTAATAAACATATTGATGAAGCTGTGATTGTCCAACATTCAGTTGGTTCTAATTTAGCATCACATGTTAGTGTGACTTTGCATTAACTCTTAAAAAGAGGTCCAAATAATGTAGTTGTGTATATTAGACGCCAGCTCAATTAATTATTAGCTTCCACTGTGTATCCCCAAGGCTATAATAGTCCTCGTACCCTGACGATTGACTTTAGTACAGGATTGCATTTCCACCCACACATTGTTCTCCGTGACACGTTTTGCCCCAAACGCATGCGTCTGCACGGCCAATCTTCCCTCAAGGGGGATGGAAAGTGGGACCTGGACCTCATCTGCATTCTCCTGATCCAGCAGGCTCCTCGTTAAGAGGCTCGTGAGCAGTGATCCAGAGCGGCTCTGTTGTTAGGAATTAATGTGGCTGCTGCTGCGCAGCTTTGGATCAGGTGGTCCGGCTGACATCATCAAGGGCCCCTGAATGCATGTGTGAATGGAACATGAAGGTGCTGTAAGAAAGCTAATATTCTACCCTGAATGACTCAGTGAATGTCATCAGACCCTTACCACATGACATCATTCACACACACACACACACACACACACACACAAAACCAACACAAACATACACAAATGGGGAAACCGGTCTTGTTCAGTACACTGACTGTAGCTGATCTGTGGGCCGTATCCCTCATTACACATGTGTTTTTCTGTCCACTTTGCGCACCGAGAGAGCCTGTGGCTACTGATTTATACCTCATTGCATTAGAAGTGTCCCCTTCAGGCCTGGTCCTCTTCTTGGTGCACAACATCTGAAATGTCTATCAGCAGACTGTGGGTCCCCAGGTCCTGCCTCGGTCCTCCTGTGGGCCGAGTTACTAAATATCCCCCGTGAGTGAAGCTGAGCCAGAAAATCAGGGGAAGAGCGAATTCCCCCAAGCAATCAGTTGTTACCTAAGATTAATAGATTGCTACATTAAGCAAAACCCCAAACTTTGGTCCTCCTCTGCCGGCTGACATCAAAAACAACGGAAACCTGGCATACTCATCGGACGAATGCCCGAGACTCTTGTTTTGAACATCAGGACAGAAAAAAAGTTCTTTACTACACCCTTTAGGGTTCTATAATGCAGCCAGCATAGAAAATGAAAATGTAAGCAGCAGTTAGCTGATGTTCTGTGCACTGAACATTAGCCGGGAGCCCTGAAACGGTTTTCCATCTGTGCCAGTCACACCGGCGTGGCAGTCGGCGAGCAGAATCGGCTCCGAACCAGCAGCAGGGGAACCGGCGTGACGTTCCCCGTCGCACCGCAGCTGCCGTTTTCACAGCTTCTCTCGGAACACCGGAAACCAATGAGAGCCTTTGTGTGGGTGTCTTTGTAGGGGATTACGTGTGACTCTGTATACTCCCATCAAAAAAAGGAATCAGCACATAGCGTTACCTTCACACATATTGAGCCTTGATAATCACTAACGTGTCTTTGATTCAGTCTCAGTCATAGGATGAGCGCGCCAATTACTCCCCCGGTTTATGTCTAAAGCGATTTTCGGGACTTGGAGACTAAACACACCCTGTCATCATCGAGGAGGCGGTGTGTCTCGCTCCACCCATTACTAACAGGAGGCTGTGGCTGCCCTTGAACCACTCAACATAACAATGTTGGGGAGTGATACAAGGATGACTCGTTGCTTCTGCTGCTTTTGTTTATAATACTTGAAAGCACCTTGTAGTGTGAGGAAATGTACTCAAGAAATCCCTCCAATTCTCGGAAGCCTGCCAATACAGGAAGTGATTAATAACTGAAGCCGCAGGAGGATTCTGAGGAGTTTTGTGTGGTTACCAAGTGGAAGTGTTTTACTATGGTGGTTATTTACATAAAGTAGAGAGGTGACAGTCTGTTGCCCCGGGGATTTGTGTATTGTTTCCACGGCAAGAGCCAAGTGTGCTGGTCTGCCAGACAAGACCACGATCCAGAACTAACAGCAGGCGATGTGTCACCCGGAGTCTCGGGCCCCGCTGAACGCAGCTGCTCTGGCTGTGTTACATCCGAGACGTGAACACGGCCATATCAAACTGTGAAGAGAAGTTAACTTTTGGTTGGTGAATTGACCTCAGCGAATTCAGGAAATAAATGACAACGTTGTTGCTCACAGTAGAAAGATTTTTTAACAAAAATTCTCCAAAATCAGTATATAATTGGTAAAATATAAAGGCCCTTTTTGAAGACTTTGCTTACAATAACCTTTCAATCCAACAGATGGCCAGCTAGCAGACTTTGGTCTAGACACGTCTTTGGTTAAAAATGTATATTTTTTAACAGAGTAAAAATAAACCCTGGTTAATCGCCTCTGCCTTGAAATCTTCTCGCAGGCTTGATGTCACCTTACTACAACACTGAACCTTCAGCCGCTCTGTTTGTATCAGCGTGAACTTTGGACGTGGCCTAATTTTGCACGTAATTGTTTTGCCCCTGCAGGCAGAAGCAATCAATGCTGTGACCTCCACAGTCAATAAATAATTTACGCTGATGACACAGGGTTTTTTTTTTTCCATTTCCATCCAAACTCCTCCCTTGCTGTTGGTGAGGGACTCAAGCGTCACTCCACGAGTTTACTATTGTGTTGGAGCGTGAGCAACAAAGGGAAATTCCTCTCTACCTCAACTGCAGCTGAATGTGAGACGAGCTGAATGTGTCACTTTTCATGCAGCTTTGAAGATCCTGGATATGGTGGATGTGAGTCATGAAGTACAAAGTACAAAAAGAAAAGGCAGTGTAATTCTTTCTGAGAAGAACGTATCTTTTGGCCCGGTTTATTTCATCGGCCATCTCAAAGTCTCATCAGAGCTGCTTGGCACTTATCTCCCTTCCGTCTTTGTTTTGTTTCTGCCCCGACTAACTTTATAAGGAACTTCCTATGAGTGATGACATCATGAGCAGGAAGGGGAAGGGGGGCTGAAGTGGGAGGAGAGGCTGTGTGAAGGTGAAGCCTATTCATCCCACTGATTGTCTGTTTGGTGAAACATGGAAGCAGTTGTAATAACAGAATCAAAGATGTAAAGCAGGAATAAACGCAAGCAGATGCTTCTCTCACAAAACGAACATTTATTGTCATAGTTCAATATTTTTCTGCAGAATCCATCAAATCAAACATGTAAATCTTTTTTAAATGCTCATATCATTCACATTCACACCTAAGCCCCCCCCAGCAAAACCCCTTCCTCAGCTATTCTCAATATGTGCCGGAAATTATAAAGGGGGATTAGCAGTAGGCTTGTCCATGTAGGGGCCAAATGTGTAACGATAAGCCTTTTGGGTTCGAGGGGCTCCCGTGCCCAAGCTGTAAAGAATTTATGAACTCAGGCACAAGAACACTCTGTTCTCCCTCTGCACACACCTCTGCTTTCTGCCACTATTGATTCAACATACCACCTGTTTGTAGCCTTTGTGTCGCTGTGTTTGGTTAGCGTGCATGTCAGTGTTGGGTTTGTATAGCCCGGTTAGGTTAGGTGACATAGTTAATACAACACCACTTAAGATCTAAGTAGGCCAAGTGACAAAAAGGGGTGAGACTGAGGGATGGCACATGCAAAGACTATTTGCATATTACAAAAAAAAAGTCAAATCAATTTGCTTGTATCTTTTAGTCTGGTTTTTCTAATTACACAGCTGGGTTTAGGTGAACATTGTGCCAGGTTAACAGCTCCAACAAATATAATCTGAATCTGATAAACGAGCTGTTCAGCTCAGCAGCTGTGCAGATAAGAGTCTTTCTGGCTGTGTTGCTTTGCCTGTTGTCTGTCTTTATCTACCCTGGAACCATCCTTTACCATCCATTACTGCCCCTGTCTCTCTGCAGATGCATGCAGTTTACATCGATTGCAGCATGCATGTTTGCTGTTTATTAAACCACACTGGAGACCCATGCAAAGTACAATATATGGCGTTTTTGAAGGTTAAGCCAATCTGCAGAGCGGCTGCGAGTCAATCCAACCTGCTAAAGCGCGCACACAGTATCCTGCATGTTTCTCCACCGGAGCACTTTATCAGCCGACTGTTTCCTTGTTTTCACGACTAACCCGAGCTCTGAGATTAAAGGACAGACTTTGATCACATTGACGTTAACTTGCTTAAATTCGACCTGCTCGTATGTTCCGTACGCAGCTCGGGGCGCGCGGCGCGCGGCGCACTGCGCCTTTAAGAGCAAGTGTTCGAGGCGGAACCGCCGCGCGTCTCTCCAAGGGTCGAGTTCATAAAACCATTGCTCACCGCCGCACCAGACATATCAAAAGAAAAAGTCCCCACAGCTCAGCCGGTGTGCCGCCTATTCCCTGCCTCATGCAACCAGACGATCACAGACTCGAACGAACCGACGAAAGCGAGGAGATTTATTTCCCCAAAGAGGAGTCTGGGGGGCGAGTCAGCGGAGCAAAACGACAAAAAGTTATTTAGGTGAGTTCAGAAGGACATTTAGAAGACCGGAGTTGTCTGCTGTAAATATCAGCGGTTGTGTGTCTATTGTTTAATATCTCGGACACCTAATTTATGCATTGAGATTAGGCTTATTCGTGTGTAATATTTAATCATTTGTTTGTTAATGTGTATTTCGTTTTCCAAGCCGTTCAGAGGAACAAACTGTCTTCAATGTACTGGCATTTAAAGGATAAAAAAAAAAAATCTCTTACAGAAATGAACTACGAATTGGGAAAGCTTTTCAACATTTCCTGGACATGTAGACTTTTTTTATTAGATCTATAATGTTTGAGCCCTCACATAACTTGCCAACCGATATTTATTGTTTTTTTAATAACCTTTTAATTTTTAAACTCTTTAGGAATAACCACCCACTCTGTCGCCGTACTACCTGCCCCTGTCAGAAAGCTGACTTGTTGTGGTGTGAGTCACCTGCCTGCTAGAGGGCTTTTAACCATTATTATCTCAATCCGGTATAGTGAGGGGGTGTGCGCGCGCTGTTTGCTTGCCGCACAGGTAGAGCGGGTATGGTTGCTCGGAAACCGCTGCAGGGTTGTCATGAGCGGGGTGTGAACTCTCTCTCTTTCAAGATCTGTGTGACTGCTGCGATCCCGAAATCAAGGCGACCTTTCTGCGGATGTTTTAAGTCACCGTAGACACCCTCAGACCTCCTCCTCTCCAGCACCCACGGGCCCTGTGTTCCCTCCCTCCCTTCCCTGCCTTGTGCACCTATTGAATCAACAGTTAAGGCCAGACTTCCCCGTATAAAGACTCCTATTCCCCATCTGAATGAGTTCCTTCTTCGGAGGGCTATTGCTCTGACACGTTATTTGCCTAATCCGGGTGCATGTACAATCTCCAGGATGAGCCGTCTTTGCACCTGTTGCGAGAGGAAGCTCAAGCCCCCCCAGGGGTCATTATCGGGGGATCATGTTGCTTCCTGCCCCCGCCGATCCGAATTAACGACCCTGGGCACAGGAGACTGCATGCTTTGGCGGGCCGTTTGGCTCATGTTGATGCCCCTGACTTCCTGTTGTTTTTAGAGCTTTGTTTCTCGGCAGCTGTTCGTCCAGCACATAAATATGGCTGAACAGGAGCGAGGGGGGAGGGTGGGGGCCGTGTTCTTCTCTGTCATCACTTCGACGGTATAAGGACAGCGGTGTGTGTCCCTGGGTGTGCACGGAGCTCATTTGCAGTCTCCGAAAAGAGCTGACCACCGGGCCTACGGAGGCACCTGTTTTTCTGCATTCCCAAAAATAGGACTTCTGATAGAGAGCTGGAGTCCAAGACAAACAAAGACACCTTAAGTAACCCACCACGTCCTTTGCTTCACGATGTAAAGGCCGTACAACCCTTTCTAAGCTCATATCTTCAGAGATCTGGACATATTGTACAGGTCAATCCAGTGTGGGCCAATGATGTCAGCTAAGATTTGACATCTAATGTATCACTGAGTGTGTGTGTATATATGTATATATATATATATCATGTTTTAATATCAAAATGATGCCAGGCCCTCCCCCAAATATTGTACACATTGTTTACTCCGCCCTGACACATGCTTGACATGATTTTTCAGGTAATTTTACTTTAAGAGTTGTTGCAACATCAGGTGTATCTCTAACTAAAGGAGCCAAACTTCCACTGCTTTTCAGGATAAGCAAGATTGCATCACCAGAGCATGACAGTCGAGTTTAAAATAAACCCTAAACTTTGAAAAGTCTGAACTTTGGTTGTTTGATTTGATTATTGAATCCCGGCTCGTAATGGTTTCTCTGGCTCTATTTGAAGTGTAAACATAATTCAGTGACCTGCATTTCTCTGTCACAGATTGTACGCTTGTTTTCTTGGCGCGGGGTGGAGGGACAAATCAAAGAACACAAAGCCATGTCAAAATATTTGGTTTAGTGGGCAGCAGAAAGGGGGTAGATTTGGATCATCTGCTCTCTATTCCAACACCATGAGTGCATTTCTTTGTGGGCTCCGCTCACACAAAGTATTTCTTTCAATGTCCTACCACATGTTCCGCTTTCAACCCCCCCCTCCCTCACCTCCCCGGTCACCGTCATTCATGGCTGTGTCTTTGCTGTGTTACAGGTTCACCAGAAGCAGGGGCCGCCAGCTGGGTGATCTGAGTGATTCCTGACGTTGATGCGACCCGAGTGTGCCTGGAGCATGTCCACAGTGGTCCTGACTGCCCAGGAGATTTCTTTTCCCATAGAAAACCCCTTCCTGAGGGGCGGCTACGGTCACAGCATGGCTGAGTCGGACAAGTGAGTGTTCAGTTGCCAAGACTTGCAGGCCCTCAGGGGAGGGCTCTTGGATTGGGATATTTCAAAAAGTCTGCATGTCGTGCTGCACTGTTATGGTTCAGGTTATGCTGAGATTCATGTAAATAACAATGGAAGGTTAGGTGATTTTAGTTGAACTGGTTCTAATGTGTCCCCCTCTCCCCTCTTCCCCCATAGCTTCTACTTCAGTATTGACACCCCGCAGTCGGATCAAAGCTCTCGATCTCATCATAAAGGGCCACCTCCACCATCTCTAAATCATGAAAGTAAGTGCATGTCTGTCGCCTGCACAGCGCAGGTCTTCTGAAATGCACACGCTCCGCTTTGGATGTGCTGTTTCTTTGCATCATCTGCTACACGCATACTAGATTCCGCTCATGCATTCCTGCCTTACACATACTAAGTGGTTTTCCAGACAGGCAGTGAAAGCTAGAGGTATAATGTTATTTTTACCCTCTGACAGGACAGAAACACAGTCCCAGTTCACAGAGGTTACCACCGAAGACATCTCGGCCCTCCCATCTCTACCTGTCCTGCGCTGCAGAACCTTCCACCCCGAGCCCTGCCGATGACGACCAGGTGGTCCCCTCATTCCAGAGGCTCTCCGTATACGAGTGCAGCAGTCCTCCGCAGACGCCGGGCAGGTGTTCCAAGCCTCTGCCCCCCATCCCTCCACAAACGGACATCTCCCCCGAGCAGGCTATGGACAATGAGGTGGAGTTCTTCACGAGTTCGGACGACAGCCGCTGCCTGGTGTCTGATCAGTGTCCCAAATCGTCTCCCTTTCGATACGGGGTGCCCAGTCGAAGGAGCTTCAGGGACTGTGGTCAGATTAACTACGCTTATTACGACGGCCCGCAAAGCCAGAGGCAGCCCAAGCAGCCGAAGCAGCAGCAGCAGCAGCAGCATCATCACCATCATCATCATCTTCATCATCAGGTGCAGCAGCATCAAGCGCCTCCTCCACAGGAAGTGCGGGAACAGTATGAGCTCCAGCGACCGGAACCACCCGACCCAGCGGTCGTTCAGAGACAGCAGGACAAAGCGCAGAGGAGACTGCGACGCTCTCACTCCGGCCCGGCCGGATCCTTAAACAAACCCTCGCTGCTGCGCCTCACGTACCCCAGGCGCCACACCCAGAGTGCGGACAAGCCCGAGGTTCCCCCCCCTATCCCTCCCCGAACCGTCAAGACGGGAGACCACCGCCGCTGGTCAGCCGAGGTCTCCTCCGGGGCGTACAGCGACGAGGACAAACCCCCCAAGGTGCCACCAAGGGAACCCTTTTCCAGAGGCAGCTCCCGCACACCCAGCCCCAAGAGCCTCCCGACATACATCAACGGGGTGATGCCCCCGACACAAAGTTTTGCACCGGACCCCAAATACGTCAGCTGTCGTGGTTTCCAGAGACAGAACAGCGAGGGCTCCCCGTGCATCCTCCCGGACATAGAGAACGGCAAGAAGGCCAGCGCCACACATTACTATCTGCTGCCTCAGCGGCCCCCTTTCGTGGACTCTCCTTGTGTGGAGAAATTTCTTCGGGTGATGCAAAGCCCCGCAGCTCGCAATACAGATGTATCAGACTGGGTCTGTCCCCCCAGGGGAAAGCACATGTGGATTTAGTGTGAGCGATTAAGTGGAAGTAGAGGAAGAATTATACTATCCATGAGCAAAAGCCACTTGAAAAAAAGGGTGAAACTGGACACTAACGACCCTCAAACGGCTGCTTTTTATATATATATATTTTTTAACCCGCTATGTATTCTGAACACATAGGGTGTGTGCGCACTGTATTCAGTTACTGGTGATGTTGAGTAGCTTTCACAGCCAAGATGCATTATGTAAAGACTATATCTCTGTCTATAGATTGTAGAGCTTACTTTTGATATGACTTTTTTATTTTATTTCGTGGCATTCAATTTTGCGCAGTTTTGGTTGATGTCGTGGTCGCTCAGAAGGTACAAGCGGGCCTTGAACCTCGTTTGTTCAGTGTTTTTCTGCGTGTTGAAGGTTGAGGATGTTTCGCGAGATGCGTTGATGCTGCTTTTGTATCTCGCAACAAGGGACAAAGGGTCAGTAATGTAACCATGAATAACTTAATATATGAAGTATAGATACAAGGCCAATTAATTTTTAACAAAATGAAGGATATTAGCACACAAATCTCTTTTCTGTTTGCTATTGTATATCAACACTGTTTCTCTGCCTTGATGAAGTTTCAGTTTTACTCAGGCCAATAAGTCTTTTGTACTCCGAGGTCGGTACATTACTGGTAGCTACACGTGTTTCTATTGAAGCGTCTAGTGTGTGTTTGTGTGTGTGTGCGCGTGTTTGCGTGCATGTGAGCATAAGTTGGGAAAGTGTTTTCCGATGACGGTTTATAGAAATGACTTTCTACGATTGGTAGAAAACCGTCAGCCGTACTTGTTACTGTGCTCTGCTTATCTGCAGCGCCGGCTTCGGAGCACAGCCTCGAAAAAGTCACTGCGTTCTTTCGGTGTTCAGGTCTGTTTTGTTGCACAGAAATCGGCCTGTTGAACATCGGGCTGAACGCAATTCTCATTGAAATTCTATCAAACAATTGGAGGAGCTTTTTTTCTTTCTTTTTTTTAAATGTAGGGGTCAACCTGTGAGTAATTGGCCTCAAGTACTACCTCCTTTTTTTGTATTAACACTATATTTCACATACTCTCCCTTTTTAAATCAAGGAAACCTTTTTAAATGATGATCTACTACCAGCTCCATATGTGACCTGACGCATTGTTTCAAGTGCGCCTCAACTAGGACGAACACGAAGGCACTTCTAACCGGATATCCTTAAATAGAGATTTTTTTTTTAGATAACGCGGATCTTGGATGACAGAGATGTTCGGCCAACCTGTTAATACATACATGCATTACAAAGACAGCACAGGGTTTACCTACCTGACACGGACTTTCCTGTTCTGCACATGCATTCCTGCCTTACATGATTGCAGTAGGTGTGGTCCGAGAGACTGTGGCTGCTGGCAGCCTAGAAAATATAATAAAACCTTTTTTATTGTTGTAGGTTATTCAAGAAGCGTCAGGATGATTATAGTAAATGTAGCACATGTATGTAGGTGTCGAACACGGTGTTCAGGTCAGGAAGTGGAAAAACTGCTACGGTCAAACGGTCATTGAAATATACTTTCTCACAAAACCTTTCTAACACAGTTGCTTTTGACTTAAATGTCTGAAAAAAATGTTTACATCATACACTGATACTATTTAATCTTAAAGTATTCATAAGTCTTATTAGAAATAATAAAACAATGAAAAAAATGAAGACTAGTTCATCATGAAATGGTGGTGAAGACATGCACAGGGGAGTACAGTATGCTGTGTACAGTATTTAACAATTCCATTTTTTTTGTTATGTGTAGTTGACTGGTATTCTTTAAAAAGAAAGCAAAATAAAATGACTTATTTATGAGCCTGCTTCATTCTTCTTTTTTTTAAAAATCTGTCACGCCTGAGCTCTCGTTTCAGCTGTTTGGCCTGTTTTATCACCCACACACCCTCGTGCTGTGTCTTATTGTGACTGGCCTCTATCCAGAGAAGGAAGAGTAACTTGCAATGGAGGCGGACGGGTGAAAAGTGTACTGCCTTCCTGTTCCTGGTTGTAACAGGGTCTCCTCCTGCATGACGGCGTAGATGTATTCTGTTGGCAGCCAGCTTCGCAACCACAGGTTTCCTAATCGCTTAACAATGTTGCAAGTGTTTTACTCTTGACTCGCGTCCAGGTGGTTGGGCACGGGGCCCGAAACCACTGTGAAAAGAACAGAGCGTTAAAAGTCAAGCAATGACAAATAAGCTGCGAGACCGGTACAATTAAAATGTCCAACCACACAACCTGCCAGGCAGCGAGCATTTCTCTACGTCTGTGATTTTGTTTTTATAGCAATGGTTGTATTATTGTAGGCAAACAAAAGGCGGTAAGAACCATCCAGGCCAACCCTTTCACCTGGTGCACGTTTAGGTGAGCTGCTGGGTGACATCATAGGTAGTGACCATAGCAACTGGCTGCCCGTTTTGAACGTCTGTTTTGGAAAGAATGAATTACCAAAGCGGTGCGATTAGCTTGTGAGTTAAACTAGTAATTGCTGCGGCACTAACAGGGATTGTTGCGCTCAAAGTCAGAGCTCCGACATGCTTAGGCTCCACTTCCGACATTTTCATTACAAGTCAAAAGAAATGCGCACGTGGGTACAACGTAGGTTCTCCCCAAACTGTTTATATTGCAGACTTTCTTCTTAAACCTATTTATTTACTGACGAAGCTCAATATAGTTAGCACAATTTGAATATTTTACTTACTATATCCTATTGGATTTTGACCTTGACATGGATTCAGAGTAGGCGACTTCACTTCCACTTGTAGCTGCTCAAATGCTCAAAAAATGTATTTTCAGTTAATTTAAGTTAATTTGATTTTAGGAGCACTGCTGATGGAATAATAAGTGAAAAAAACTTTTCTTGATAAGCTATTGCGGTGACTTCCTCATGTGCTCCGCAAATTAGTCTGCAGTCGTCTGATAAGGAAAGTATGCCCGTTTTCTTTGACTGGCTCATAAAATATTTCTGGTATTAGACTTTGCGTATTACACTTCAAGAATGGGTGGAACTCTTTCAGGTAACAGGAGAATACTTTAGATGTCCCATTAGGTATCAATTCAATGTTATCTAGCAGTTTGAGGATCTTTAATGTATTTTAAAGATAATAAAAGCAATCAATCAGATCCCTAGGCATGTTTTTTACATTTTGCCATTCAAAGAAAGGTCAATGCTTCTATTATAAAACAGTACCACTATTCATCCACTGGGTGGCGACACAGACCGCGTTGCCACAAAACAAGATGATAACGCTTTTAAACAGCAAGACAAGTGTGCAAATATTTAAGGAATCAGGACAGACGGGAGGAATCAACTCAAGATGACCAGAGACACTGGAGTAGCCATGTGCAGTGTTTTTAATCACATAACAACCACGGTAATGAATCATTTATGGTTATGGCTGCAAAAGGAAACGTTTATGACCGACTCCCGGTCTGTGTAGGTAACAGGAAGTCTTCTAGTTTTATAGTTACAATACACCCTTACGAGGGGGCGGAGCTGTTGGAGGCCTGGTGGGGCCCAGTTAGCTTAACAACCGCTAACTTAGCAGCTAATAGCAGAGCCGACTAGCGACGTGTCTCTGCTAACGAGTTTAACTGCTGGGATATTAACGGCGAATGTTCGAATTTGCTGACGTATAAAACTCACGAAGCTAAAAAACAAACAAAAAAAGTGTCTTTTATTACAACACTCGAGCAGGTGGCTAAACACCGAAAGCTACCAATTAGTGGCTGGTAAATGATATACAAACATAACCAGAGGTCACATTCAGGTGTTTGACTTCGTTAAAGGGGATATTTAGGCCAAATGTTATCAAGTATCAAGCAGCTGGTCTTGTAAACACAAAGAAAAGAAATGTGAAATATATATTAGTTAAATGCAGCCGATCATTTTTAATAGTATTTTAATTTAATCAGATCTATATGGTGACAAATTGATTTAAAAGCTTTAGATGTTTTTTGTTTTGAAATGGGCCTACTCAATAACAGAATGGTCCATGCTTAAGGCAATTTAAACCCCAAACATCTGCGATGTTTTTATATGTTCACTTGTATATACTATTTTTAAAAGTTATTTTCTCTTGAAATATTGCAGATTTTTGGCCTTCATTGTGCGTAAAAGTGGCAGGTAACGGTAGTGTCTTGTGGCTCATGACAACAAATACTGAGAATGCTAGCTGGAAAATCTCACACATACATATAGTATAGTATATACCGTTTTTAACTTTATGGATCAATCTTTAAAGCTATTACTACCTGGTGCTGACCGGACAGTCCCGATTCTACAACAGGACAGTACTGGTCACTGCCGGGGTTGATTAGATTACACTTTTTCAAAATGTATTAAACTTTTAAAAGCTCTGTCTCTTTTTGTCTCTATTCTCACATTGCAAAGGCAACGAATCATTCAAATGAGTGTGTGCGCCATCTAGTGACGGGGTATTGTAAAGACTTTGAGAGATACCAACAATTAAACCTCTTAGGCTTTCATTTGAAGAAGAATCTGCTATATGACCACTGTATTGTGTTGCGAAGAAGATGGGAAAGATTGTTTCTCAACCTTTTCTTACCCATGTATTTGAATGCTAAATAGTATTGCTTGTGTTACTGAGATGTCATCGTAACAATAAATATAACTAACTGCTCTGTCAAGTGCATATTACAGATATTAGATAGAAAGAAAAGCAGCATGTTGACACCTTATTTCTTTAGATTACACAATTTGACACTGAGATCTCAAAATCAAACTGCTGCAAACACTGATGCAAACTACATTCTTCTCAGTTAACTTAAAATCATTTATTCCAATGGTTTACATTGCTCCTGGTCTTTATTATACGCGGAACCTATGTTAATTGGGGGCATTTTATACATATTTTTAATTAGTTTGTGCATTTTTCCTAAATATATGTATACAGTAAAATACTGTGAAGACAATATCTCTGAAACAACTCCAACATTCATGTTTTAGAAAGGATCAAATTAAATATTCATTCAATGTTAAATCTTTTACTTTCTGTTCCTCAGTACTGAATGGCCGTATTGCTCATTGACAAACAAAGCACTTCTTTGTGACCTCAGGTAAGGACAACATTTAAAACTAACTAGAACAAATCCTGAAAAAAACATTTGTGTGGTGTGAATTAACTGGAGTCCATTGTGACATGTTCATTTTTATATATTAGCACGATTAAATTAGAATTTAAGTAGATACAGTCATATCAATCACAAAAACAAATTAGTATATAATATATGATTAATGAGTAGATGTTCCAAGCCTCTGGATGATTTGTTGTGTCCTGGAAAGACACAGGCATTTTAATATCAACATGTTAAACTAGAATAATTGATCTTTCCTTGTACTTTACACAATTTCTATGTATTATGTCTGTGATTTAGTATAGTACATAAGCTAGAAAACAATACCTGCAATTGGTTGTCCAAATTGGTTACTCGTGTGTAAGAGTCTTAAAATCGTAAAAGTCGGGATCTACAAGGCGGAAAAAAATGTTATTGTCACTGAAACTATTAGATTCCTCACTGAGAAACCATGGAAAACAAATAAACAAAACAACAATCACTGATTACTAAAAAAAGAATTAAATATTCACCTTTAGCAGAGAAGTGAAATAAATCCACTTCACAATCAGAAAGTCTGCTGTCATAGTAGTTGCTCATTCTCCTAGGTAGGGATAGGGAGACATTTTCATTAGTTCCATGGGGTATGTTTGTAACAACATTTGGATATTACTGCAAAGGAAGTTGCATTTTAAGGCTTTATAACCCACCAAGTGCCCGTATGTCTCTTTCTGACACGGACAATGACAATGATAATGATAATTAAGAGCAATGCTGCTGCCAATGATCCAAACAGGGCAATGTAGAAACCTGGACCCCAACTAAAGCTCTCACACGTTACGCCGTAAAACTGCTGAAGGCTAGAATTAGAGCACCTGGAT